TCCTTGGAGAAGAAACCTTATAGATCTGAAATAGCTTTAATCTACCTACACATTTAATTGGGGGTTTAGACTGTATGTAGAATCATTTTTCTCCAACATTTCAATTTAAAATAGATCCACTGTTTTTTTTGTAAGAGATTGGGCATTCAAGTGGCCTTGAGCTCCATCATTGTTGCTGATTGTTTATGTGTAATATATATCTCTTGCTGTATCTGCAGTGTTTTGGAATTTCAAAAGAATTTGCCTTGATGTGGGTATTTTGAAGTTTTGTTTTGTTGTTGTCCTGGGTTCTTAGTAGGTCTTTTCAATTTGGAACTCATGGACTTTTATTCTGAGAATTGCGTAATATTTCCCCTTTACTTTTTACATACTTTCATTATGGAACTCGCAAGTATTTTCTGGGTCCTCCAAGAAGCAGATGCCAAGACAGGATGAAAAGCAGAAGTTTTTTGTTAAGGTGATAGCTGTGGGAGACTATGGAGCGGGATTGGGGAAGGATGGAGTGGGGTGCAAATCTGAGGTATGTGAAACAGAGGGAAGGAAAGCTGGAGTAGACACCTCTTAGTGGACTGGCATTTTGGAGCCAAATTTCTCTGTCAGAGAACTGGCCAACTTTGCTGTCCTGGTGGGAGCAATCCATGGGGTTGTGACCTTAGAATGGAGGCTATGGTGGGCTTCAGTAGATGCAGTTGGAAGTTGGCCAGATAACATCTCATGGCTTCCATATTTTATCATCATGCATGTGTTAACTCCTCTGCATTGATTCTATTCTTTCCTTTTCCTCCTAATGTTGCTCTTTAAAAAAGGATACTGGGAAGTTTTCTTGACTTTGTTTTACAATTATGTTTTGAGCTCTAATACTTTAAATTTCCAAGTACTTTTTACTTTCATTCTTGGTCTCTTTTGTTAGCTTTCTGTTCTTGTTTCATGTCTATAATATCACATCTTCTTCTTGTAGATGTCTGGGTTTTATAAATTTATTTTGCTCCCTGCTTTATCTCTGTTTGTTCCTACATTATTTCTATTTACTAATATATGGTTGACTGTATTTTTCTCTTTCCTGTTAGAGTCTTTCCTCAAATATTTAAAGACCTTTAGCAAGCTCATTGGAAGTGGTAAGGGAGATGCTGTGTGTGATCCTGCTGAATGTGCAGGACCCCTGGTTGTCAGAACTAGGAGATCTTTCCTCTCAGTTCATTGAGTTTTACTAAAGAGGACTTGGTCCTCCTCCTATATGACGGTGATTGGGCACCTGGAGATCTGAGTGGAAGACAGGGGCCTGCAGGTCTCCCATTTCGGGGGATCATTTCTTCACACCACCTCCTGTACTCTCCAGTAGGTGCTTTACATTTCACCTTAGCTATGTTTGAAGAGCCCTAGTCCACACTCTTTCTGGTAAATCTCAAATCCTGGGCTGGGGAGCCCGTTTCACGTAAGGACACCCAGCCAGTTTTCCTGTCTTAGTGTACACATCAGCCCTGCTCGGCTCTCTTTTGAGAGCTTACCCCTTGCTCTTTACCAGTTCCTCCCTCCCAGGCCTTGAATTAAGCTCTTACAGCTTTTCTTTATTTGTTTTCCAGCTTCCCATATTTTAAAAAAATATCTTGACTGTTGTTATTTCTTTTCATCTTTGTGGATTTTTATCTTATGGTTTTGCTCCCTTCTTTGTTGAAAAGCAAAAATAAACATTTGTTTACTTCACTATAATATTATATGCTATATTATTATTATACTACAGTATATTATTATTACTATACTATTTTTTTTGGCAGTGCAGTTCAGGCTGGCCTTGAATTCACTGTGTAGCCCAGGCTGGCCTCAAACTCATGATAATTCTCCTGCCTCAGCCCCCTGAGTGATGGGATTACAGGTGTTCCCCACCATACCCATGCCCAGCGCCCCACTATATTATTCTCTTAAGATTCTTTCTAATCTTTTTCCTTTTACCTGAAAGGATGAGCTCAGGTCTTTGCATAGGCTATGAATGATACCACAAAGTCTACAGTTTAATCTGCTTTTTAACTAACTAGGGCAGAGATAGGACAAAGACTCAAACCCTCATTCCAGGGCATTCTATCCACCATAGATAATTGTCTTCATGAAGCAATGCTTGGACAGTGCCTACTCATCAGCTCTTAAGTCTCAGTTTGTGCCCCATCTTGATCACATACTGAAGTCCCCAGAAGCAAATTTTTTTCCACTTCTCTGTTTGTGGTTTGGTTAAAATCATACATATCCCAGAGGTTCTAAGATAAACACTGGTGCTGTGTATCAAGTCCCAGCACAGACTGGGAGCTCACTCCCTGTGGGTTTCTCCCCTTCCTCTTCTGATCAGGAAGAGCTAGCCTTAGTGGCTTTTCTGGGCTTGGTTGCTCTTGCCTGGGTCATCCAAATGTACCTCCCACTCCTCCTACCCAGAATTTTGTCCTACTTTGGAAAGTCCAGGCTGCTTTCCCTGCCATCTGTGCCTGCACCTGCTCCAGGGTCTTGACCCTCGGAATCTGTCATGTTCTGTCCTTTTTTGTATGAATAGGAATATCCTGCCTTCCTCCAAATCAGACAGGCACCTCTGGGGGCTTTTGGCTTACCCAACTTGCTCCTGTTGGAATATAAGTCATGAATAGGACAATAATTTCAAGATGTTCCAAATTTCTTTAAGAAAAAATCCTACTCTTTTGACTCTGATCTTCACTCAGACTGTGCTGATTCACATCAATTCTGTCACTGCTGGCAATGCCAGCACTGGGGGCCAGGACAGAGCAGGAGGTGGAAGAGAGCCTCCCTCCTCACTCTGCCACCAACTGCTACACAGACGAGGACCCAGGATTTCTCTCTGACCATTGTGCTATAAAGCAGCAAATGTGTTGGAGCTGGAGCAGTTTTTCTCCATAAAGACAGTGTGTTGGAGGACAGAACAAAAAACAGTCATGCAGGTTTTATGGAAGCTATAGCATTTCATCAGGTCAAACATCTTCATTTCCTCATTATCACCAAGTTTTGTGGAACTGAAATAATACATCTGCCCTGCCCTCCCTGTTGCTTAGCAACAGCCTATTTCTCATTCCCAGCAGGTGCAAGGGACTCCAGTTTTGAAGGTGGGAAAAAAGGGGAACAATAGTAAGATCCCTACCTGGTTGACATAGTAATGAGACATTTTAATGCCATTATGTAAGAGGTACCTGTCTTGCAAATGAATGAGACAGAGATGACGACATTTCTTTTCCTCATTTGGGGTTTATGCTGCCCTCTCTCTGAGAGGTAATGTTTACCTGTAAGAGATGGGTGTGTGTGTGTTTGCACTGCCATAGTCCTCTGCTAGATAACTCAGAAGATGGAAAGACACACCCGGAGCTCATACTGGTGGGGAGGCAGAACATCCTCTTCCTGAGGCCACTGCTCTGAACATTGGATCATGAATTTCCTTTCCTGAGATATCCCATGGGACTCCAGTGTCTCTTCTGCACACTCTGACTGCTCCTTCTTATGTGAACAGCCCAGTGTGCCAGTCCACATTTTCTATGATGCAGACACCAAGATGAGATCAAAAGTGCAAAGAACCTGTTAGGGGAAATGCCCAGGTGAGAGGAAACTGGGAGGATGCCAGGAGTGAAGGAGAGAAGGAGGGCAGACTGGAGGGTGTGTCTTAGACTGCCATGGAGTCCTTGGAAGGCTCTATGTGGCCAGCCAAGGTCACCCTCAGAGGAGCCCACTTCTCCTGGAGCAGCCTCCTTAGCTTCCTCTGCACCCTGTCACTTCAGAGTGCAGCAGCCAGGAGCTCTCCCTGCAGTTGGAGATCTGCAGGGTGCATCCTTGTGGGTCCACATCCAGACTCAGGGGATGGACTGCTTGGATGGGGGTGGGCTGAGTCTGGGATTAGTGAAAATCCCACAGGTGATACTGGGAGGCCTAGAAAGGTAAGTAGAGAGCCTCACAGCAGTGGGTTGGGAAAGCAGTGGGTGCTTCTGGAGAAAGGACTGGCCCTGGAGACAGGGAAATATGGGTGGTGTTCCCAAGGGGACCTGGGATGGAAGTGGAAGGTTATACTTAGCATGAGCTTTGAATTGCTCCTCTTGCTATTTTCCCTCCCCTTATGGTACTGCTTTTCCCCCATAGACCAAACTTCACATGGGAAATGCTACCATAAATGGTTTTATTTACACTCATGACTCATTCTGTTTGTGCTGCTAAAACAGAATATGTGAGGCTGGGTTACTCACAAATAACAGAAATTTATTTTTCACAGTTCTAGAGGCTGGATGGTCCAAGACCAAGGCAATGCAGATTTGGCGTTTGTCTGGTGTGTCTTCACATGGAGGACGGCAAACGTGTAAAAGGGAGATGAAGCCACTTCCTCACAAAAGAAGACAATGAACCTACTCCATGTAGCCTTCTTTTTTTTTTTTTGTTATCGGGGATCGAACTCAGGTCCTCAAACTTGCACAGCAAGGGGCGAAACCACTGAACTAAATCTCTGGCTACATGTAGCCTTCTTAAAAGCCTTACCACTCAAACTACCACAACAACAAGACCATCGCAATCTACTATATTCTTTTTAACTTCTCTGTGATACTTGGGTATATTTGTAAGTGCCTGAAATTAGAATTTCCTTCTCTCATGTAATTTTGCATCCATCTCCACGTTACCCTCTCTGTGAACCCCATGATGTACCAGTTCGATGGAGCACAGTGGAGTCAGAGTCACTGGTTTGTGATCTCCATGTTGCTGCAGTGCTTGCTGCTTCTCCTGTTCTTTTCATCACTTCGCTTCTGAAGGCTGGCGTCTCATTTCACTAGACAGTGCAGGCCTGTTTGGCCTTCCTGCATTCACCTCCATGCCGGGACGGCTTTCTAAGAAGACTGTTTCCTGATGCTTCAAGTGAGGGATCAGGCATCAAGTGTGGTGGTTCATGGAAGACAGGATGACTTAGAGGAACACAGGGAAGAGAGCAGCTTAAGGGGGATCAGATATGAGAAGTTCTCTCAATAGGAACCTCAGGCAGATGACTGTAGGAGTTGGAATACATTGAATTTCAATCACTCAGTGGCAAATATTACCAGATTTCTTCCCACCACAAGCTTCTAAGGGAAGGCCTTTGTAACTTGGCCCTGGTAATACAGTTGGTGGAGCAGGGTTTTAATCCTGGTCTGTCTATGGCACAGCCTGTGTTAGAAAGCTCTACATTTTCTCATCACCAGAGCAACAAATGAAGGGCCAAAGGAAGATCAGGTCAGTCGAACTTTCTAGGGCTACCGAGTGAGTCACTGAGCAGGTAAGGCTTTGGAGGGGTTTGTTGATGATCCCAATGCCTTACCTTGGACAATCTAGCCTCCTGTATACACTTGCTCAGCCTCATGCATTTCACTCGGGCACCATCACACAAACACACTAGCTTTCTGGTTCCAAGCCATGGCTCTTTATAAACAATCTTTCTTAATTAGCCTTGGCAGCTCAACACCTTTGGTGTATCTAGCCCATTTCACTACCACGCCTACTCTTGTTGGATCCGGTTATAAAATAAACTATGTTCTTTGAGAGCTGTTGCATACAGATCAGTCGGCAGCTGGTCTGAGCTGACCCACAGACATAAAAACCAACAAGGCCCCAAGTACCCTTACCGGGATTAACCAAACTATTAGATCAAGGATGCAAGGACTCACACACATCAAGGACCTGGCTGCTTCCTTGGGGACTAAGAAAATGGTTTTTGTCTCCACATTTACTCTGGCAATCCATGAGGTAAGGGGAGAAATATCTCATTGTCTCTTTGCAGAAAAAAAAGTATTTAATTTTTGTGAAAACTTAGCCCTCTTTCCCCCATTTCAGATCTAGATAGACTTGTCTATCCGCTCCCAGAAGACAAAAGCATGGTTTTAATTCACGTACAAGGTGCTCTTGATCTGCTGGTTACACATGGATTACTAGCTGGGAGGTTTATCCTGCCTTTCTGGGGCCATTTCACAGCCCTGGAGCTGGGAGGACATTGAAATCTTTTGTTGTGGTGCTCTTAGTTTCAAAGTCTCCTCCCAGCTGCAGAAATGTGTGTAGAGCATCTATGGGTGATGGCACTCTTTCAGTTGCTGCAAGACCTTAGTCCTCAGTGGAACCCTGCTCAGACCTTCCCCCTTGGTAACATAGAGGGTAAAGATGTTGGTGAGGTCTTTCATGGAAAAAGCTTATCTGAAAAAGGCAAGTTAGTAAGGAATTTTCTCACCTTCTCTCAGTGTCTTCACTTCATTTGTTGATGTAGTACTGTATGGAATTGTGCACCATTTTGAGTGAATTCAATTGGATCTCTCAACATTTGTTGAGCTCCTGAAATATTGCTCTGATAAATGCTCTGCACCAGTGATGCCAGCTGTTTCCCTATGCTCGGATGTACATGGAGCTCCTTCTCCAAGCTCAGTTGCATAGATTCTGGCCAGAGTTGCTCACAAGAAGTTGGTTGTTCACAATTGCCAACCTGTAGGGAAAATGGGGTTTCCCCCACTTTAGCTGGGTGTAAAAAATGGAGCAAAATATAGTCCTTCTGGTCAGGAGGCTGTGCGGACAAGGGCTTGCCCATCACCTTTGTGTTGGAGGAGCTGCCCCATCCCTGTGTGTCCCTTGAGCCTCTGGCTTGGCTTGGGCTGCCTTCCTCACTCTGATTTGGGGGAAATGTACACCCTCTAAATCAATTTCTGCTTCTAAAAGCACAAAGGAATAGGGGTATCTGGTAAGTAGGGGCCATCAGCAGAAGTTTTCTCTTTCTTTCTTTCTTTCTTTCTTTCTTTCTTTCTTTCTTTCTTTCTTTCTTTCTTTCTTTCTTTTCTTTCTTTTTCTTCTCATTGATACTCAATTCCTGAACATGAATTTCCTTCTGCATAACAAAGTGCACAAAATCAGTTTAGGCATAAGACTGAACTTACAAAGAAACAGAGTATACAGATTACCTATGCAGAATTCTTGGGCATTTGGTGCTGTTCATGGCTTTCGGTGTGCTCTGATTTTAAGCATTTTAATATAAGATGCTTGTGATGGCCAAACATGTTCCACTCTGGAGAGGCGAGACTCAAAATCTTCCATGCATGTCTCTTTCCTTTCCTTAGTGAGGCATTTGCTGGTGCTTGGTTACAAATCTACCCTAGACCTTTTCACAGCTCAGTGACTTTCCCAGTATTCAGCTGGGACTCACATGCTTGGCCTCTTCCTTGCCCTGTGGCTTCCGTAGATTGAAGGCTTCCTAATTCCATCTCCTAGAGCTCTCTCTGTAACTGTTTGTATGTCTCACAGTTCAATTTTATGTTAAATTCACATTTAACTCTCTTTCACACTACAATTCAAGATGCTATTGATAGCTATTGTCCTCTTTATCATTCTTATCATTAATACTAATATTATGCATACAGCTTTTTTCTTTATTTGCCTTTCAAAAGGTTATAATAAACAAAATTGCAATGTTCTGGGAACTATGCTGGGCCCAGGGAAACTCCTGAATGACTTGGCAATTGTTTGTAATTGCCAACTGTGCTTTGCAGTGGTTTCCTGGAATGTACAGTCTAGAGGATATCGCATAAGAGAGATGCCATGATGATTAGAGATTGCAGCACACCAATGTAGCCACAGTATAATTGCTAAGTGCATGGGACTATATATTGTATTCTGCCTACAGAAAGCTTCATGGTAGCATAATCCTAAAAGCCCTGAATAGGCGGGATGGCACCTGGTGAGGGCAGGAGAAAGAAAATTCCAGAACAAGGAAATGGCATTGACAAAAATGTACAGGCAAGCAGGAGAGCATGGCATGTACAGGAAATAGTGCACCTGTGTGGCTGAGGGTGGCAAAGGGGATGAGGGGAGGAGGTATATGAGACAAGAAGGGCTGTAGAGAGTGATGATGAAGGGCCCTGTCTGTGAGGCTGCACAGCTTGGCGGTGTCTGGAAGGCAGTGGGAAGCTGTGGTGAGATCCTAGTTATATTGCAAAAAGGTTGCTTTGTCTGCCAAGTGCAAGGTGGGATGGAGTGGGATAAGACCATTGCCATAGAACCAGGCAGGAGATCATTCAGAGGAAGAAGGCTCAGGATTCAGCAGCTGATTGGCTGCAGAAGGAGACAGGTGGGATGAAAAGGAGCCTGAGATGTGACAACATCCCTAAAGTCTACATATGACTACACTTTGCATGGCAAAGGGTGTTTTTTTTTTAAACACTTAACCCAGTCTCAGCCTCAAAGAGATGAAGTACTGGTTCCTAGAAGTTATAGGAGTGAGGGCTGGGAACCTGGTCCTCTTTTCTGCACCACTGAAAAGCCCGTGTTTGGGGAGAAAGTGAGACTTCCACACAGTGAGTCTGTCATAGCCAATGTCTCCCTCCCCCTGGGTGCCTGGGTCTCAAAGGAAGCGTTATCTTAGATCTGTAGTCAGCCTGGTATATGAGTCCCTGCTAGAGCCCATGGTCATCCCATAGGAGAAAGGGCAGAAAATGCATTGCTCCTTATTATGGGAGCCTAAGGTTGAGATGCTGTCAGGAATAGGAATGGTAACAGAATTACTGAGAGCCAGAGGCCTTCTGTTATTGTGTTCACCATTCATTGCCCAATTGTACCCTCTACCTCAACTGAGTCCGACACTGGCCTGAATCTTTCTGGGGCTCATTCCTATGAAGAGCTGCCCTTTTTAATCCCCTTGGGCAGAGAAGTAAAGAGAATGTGAGTCGGTGGCTCCTGAGTTTCCTCATTTGGCCACTGGAGCATGATGGTGTTGGTCAGCTGTGCTGGGCATGGGAACAAGGCTGTTGCACCTGGAGCCACTTTCTTGTGCCCCACATGACCTCAGGGGCTGAGGGAGTCAGGGTCTTGAGACACAGGACACCACTTCAGCCTTATTTGAGAAGCTCTGGGCCAAGCCCAGAGCCAGGACATGGCAGAACTGGGATTCAGACTAAGATTCCATCTTAGTTTTTGTAAAGCCCAAGAAGAAGAATATGTATTGTCCTGCTAGTCTGTATCCTCACTGAGTGAATTACTAGTGTAGAAATCAGTGTGCCCTACAGCTAACTGAGGATGGTTGGACAAACAATCAATTTTAACAGCTTTTGCTTTGGATGCTTGTCTTTTCATTTTCCCACATCAGCTGGGCATTTCAGAGGCAAGAGTGATGGCCAGACTGCCTAAGAATTGAGGGAAGCAGAAAGGGATCTTCTACTTTCATTCTAGGCCCAGATGTGCCTTTGCCAATAAGACCACTCCCACTCCACAGACTGGGAAAGGAAAGCACTAGACTGTGGTGATGTAGCCTGAAGCCCAAGGAAAGAGAGCAGAGCCTCAGCATTTCCATCCTGCTCTGTCTCCTCAAACAGATGTGACTCATGATAGCATTAACACTGCTCTGAGATGGCAAATAAGTGGCTGACTTGACCATGTGCTTCAGGAACCTTCACAAACAAAACAGAAACTGAAGAAACAAATTTTTAAAAAAGGATGAAGGAAAAATGAATGTGGAATCATATGAGTGGTAGACACATAGAAAAGCCAATGATAAACAGAAAGGGACAAAGGAGTCCTCGAAGTGCTGGTGTGTGCTCACTCCAGCTGGGGTGGCTCCAAGCCATCCTTACTCAGGTTACCATGAAGGATCTTCAGAGAAAGTATCAGGCATCCTTGACTGCCAGTCACTGCCAGACTCTTCCAACATACAGGAGAAGAGGATAATTTCCTGAAACTCCTTGATGCTTTTAAAAGAGTAGCAGAAAGAAACCAAGGATCGTAACAATCAACTTCAAAAGTATTGAGAATCCAGAGATGTTCTTCCCCAAGTATTGCTTCTCAAAAACTTTTTTAGGGTTTTCAGTGGTCAAATACAAAATGTCATTCTGTTTAAAAACAGAGCACTGAGATACTAATTTCAAGCAATCATTGAGTTCAGCTCACCCATTGTGTGAAAGAAGAAACCAAGGCCTCATGGAAGGGCAATGAGGTGCTCAAAAGCCCCTGGAAAAGCATTAATTTGAATTCTCCCAGCAACATTTTAGATCAATAATTTCCTCACCCAAAGAATTTTGTTATTTTCCTGAATCTGTTTCCCCAGGATACCACAGAATCATTTTGGCCTGTGTGTATTTGCCCCATGCTGTGTTCTACAGGTAGGAAGCTTGGTAAGTTTGCATTGTAGCCAGATGCTGGTGACCCACCGATGCTTCTAAAACAAGATTCTTTGGAATACTCTGAAATGCAAGCCAGAACTTTCCATTTAATTAGAATTTTCCAATGCTCATGCCTCTCCCTCTCTGAAGATGGCCCAAAGCCCCAAGTTTCTCAGCTCGGGTTCAGGAATCATACTCACTGGGGTATAGCTGTGTGCTACTTTATCCTCAGAGAATCATAGTTGAAAAGCAGGTTAATATGGTGATTGCAGAATTAGAACAACCACAGTTCTCTCAGGTGATTACCCCTAAGGGAAGTCTCATGGTTCACTGCCCTTGATTAAATTCTTAGGAGCTTTCCGGCTTTCTCCAGATTTGCCATTTGCCCTTGAAGAGCTGGACAGAATTTGTCAACTACAAATAACTGTTAGCTTTTCACAGGAAAAGTCTGCATGAAATTTGGCCCCTAGGAGTTTGAGTCCATTATGAGATATGCGGAGAGATAAGAGTGATTCCAGGCCCATGCTTGGAGGCACAACCATTTCAAAGACTAGGGTATTCTGATGCTCTTTGGGGATTGGACTACTGATGAATTATGCATAGAATATAGAGAGCTTGAGT